TGACACAGAAAGTAAACAACCACCACAAACAGTGCGAGGATCGCCAGAGATCTCATCACAGCACCTAAAGTTATAACCCAGAGTCCACAGTGCAGATCGTCACTGTTTGCTGGTTTTATTCGGTAGAAAACATTGAAGAAGGCTTCGCTCTCTTTCTCACTAAACTGATTCTTTATTCTGCAGGAGAAAGTTGTCACACGCTGTGTTTCCTCATCATTAATGAGCTCCACGGTGTTCTTTCCAGACGTTGCCCACTCTCCTTCATCCTTCTTCCAGAAGTACTCCACAGGCCCGGCTTTGCTAACGTCTCCCTCACACACCACTTTACATCTCTTTGAGGCTGAGCTACATACCAGCGGCTTCACTTCCACCTCAGGCTGCGGCACATCCTCGATCGCCATAATCTTATGAACCCGACTCTGGACCTGGTTGTTGATCTCCACTGAATACAGTCCACTGTCCGCTGCAGTCATGTTCCTGATCTCCAACACTCCCGTGTTAGTGTTCAGAGTGGTCCGGCCTTTAAACTTGCTGTAATATGTCAGAGGAATCTGGTCTTTCACCCACTCAGCCAGCAGGGTCTTGCCGTATTTCCACACGACGCTGTAGATCCGTTCAGAGACCGGCTGAGGGCTGAGCTGAAGTGTGCCACCAACCCTGATGTACTTCTCCACAGTCTGGGCCTGAGTGAAGCCGACTAACAGCAGCACAGCGAGGAGCCAGAAACCAGCCGATGTCTCCATGTTCACAGATCAACACAGAAGTGACAGGTCTGTGCAGATGTCTTTGGTTTTGTGCTGTCTGTGGTTTCCTTTGGTGGGTATGGTGAAGTTTATCATTAGGCGTTTGAAACAAGGAAGTGAGCCCTAAAACAGCTTTGCAACCATTTATGGTCGTTCTGAAGCAGCATCCAGCGGCGTCACATGACAGCCTGTCTCCTCGGTCAGCCCCGAGTGTCGATCCACCAACCGACCTGTAACAGTCCTGTTGTTAAAGACCTGCTGGGAAGCAGCATCAGGACACAAACCAGAACATTTCTGCTGTTAATGAACCTGAAGTTAAACCGCAGAGTGAAACAAATCATCGTTTATCTGCCTCACGCTGAAAAAACGAGACGAGGAAGTTTAAGTGTTTACCGTCTGTTTACTGTCAGAGAGAACAGTTCATGAGCATCATTTACCGTCTATGTACAGAGTGCACACGGTGCTTACAGCAGAGAATCAAACATCTGCAGTCAGATGATGTTTAACACTTTCCAAAGTGCTTTTTCACAGTTAAAGGCTGCAGTCGAAGGCACGGCAGGAGGAGGAGGAATGCTGGAACACTTTACATTTACATTTAATTACCATCAGCTGAAGGCGAGGACCCCGACGGCCTCTTTCAGCACGAATACAGACGTTTGTTACACACACCAACATCAGTAAAACAGGAAGTAATCGCTTACTTTAAGAAACTTTGCAGAACACAGAGCTTCTTCCCTTTTTTAAATATGTTTATAGATCATGTCGCTGCAAGTTTTCCTCCAATGGCAGCGTCTCTCATGTTACAGAGGAAACGAAGCAGACTGTAAAACGACTGCATCAAACTGGCCTCACAGTCCTGAACTTCAGAGGAAACATCTGAGGACCGGTTTCAGCTCCTGCCCTATCTCCAGGCTGCAGAGCTGCAGTGTGCAACCTGTCCTTAATTTATTGTCCCTCACACCGAATCTACAGCTTTGCCTTTTCACTCGTTTAACAGTTCATATCATCTAAAACCTGGAAACGAAACAGATTCTTAGGACATCAACTTTTCTTGTTTCTGGTTTTCTAGGTTCACCATCGTCACATCTGAGAGATGTTTTTTCCGACTCTCACGGACGCTTTAAAAGTAAAAAATCAGCAGATAAATTACTAAGTAATGAAAACAAGGAAAACATCTGTCCTTGACGTTAAAAACACCTGGTGACTTTTCCCAGATCAACACATGAAAACACTCTTAGCCCACAGACGATCACATGATCACCATCAGCTGCTGTTTGGGAACAAGGAATAACGTCTGGGTCGTTCCCGTGAACCAAGCTTCCTGCGCCATCCTCTCTCCCTTGTTCATTAATGAATCTATAAATATGAATTTTCTGTCCCCACACAGATATTTATGGATGCAGTCGAACACTCAAACACGATTGGTCCAGGCCCAAACAAGTGATGGGAATATAATCCATTCATAGTAAACTGAGCTTCCTGAAGATCGTCCACCATCAAACCCAAAACCAGTGAAAACATGTTGAAAGCTGCTGTTTTAAAGGGTCGGGGGTCAAAGCCTCTGATTATGAGGGGCAGCCAATGGGAAAGATGTGAGCTTTAGTTTGGTTTCTGCTCTCGTCACGTCGGGAAAGAGGCGAGGTGATCCAACAAGGCTTCTCATGAGCTGTTCAAACTTTCTAAATGACCCTTTGAAAGTCGCTGCTCGGCTGAGTCGTGGTAGAAACACAGAAAGCTGAGCTCCAGCTGCTCCGTTCATATATTTACACTTCGTTTCATTGTTTAATCCATTAAAATGTTTCTGTAAACCTGTAAATAAAATTTATTTAGTTAAATTAAACCAGCCTGGTTTTTATTTGTGTTTGAATAAATCGAGGTAAGAGAAGCTGATGGATCGTCTGAGCGTGAAACGTGGACGTTTCTGACCACAGAGAAACTTTTCATGACTTTCTTTTAGATCTTTTTCCTGACGTTAAATCAGAGTAAACATAATGATAATAGTTCCTGGAAGAAAATCAGAGCCGACATAAATAATCTGATTGTGTAAACTGTAGTGACTGTAAGCTGGTTCCTCTGGTGTGGAGAGTCTTTAACACTTTTCCTCCTGAAGCAGCAGAAGTCTAAAAGCGTCACTGGAGGAAAGGCTGTCAAGCTTCAGGAGCTGTCAAAGCTTCTTGGTCCCTCTTGTCAGGATCTGGAATGTAAAGCGGATCATGACTCTCAGCCCTCGGTCTCTAAATTCGCCACCGCAGCGTTCAGGAATCGGCCGCGACGCTGCGTCTTCCTACGAGGTCAGCTGACGACGTCTTCGCTTCCTGCAGCGAACGGCGGCTCAGAAACCGTTAACTAACGGGACAGTTTGCGGTTCTGAGCGATGAAGACGAGGCCGCCGGCTTTATTTGTGGGTCGATGCACAGCTTTCATCTTCGTACAACAGAGGCTGCAGACAGAGAGGAAACAAGGCGATGAGCGAGAAAACACAATCGTTCAGACTGAACCGTCTGGTTTTATGTGACTTGATCGTCGTCGTGTGGAGCAAAGTTGGTCGGCTGTGGCTGTAGAAACAAACACGAACACCCGGCGGCGCCTCACCTTGCTCTCCAGCACGCGGCCGAGCCCCGGGCTGCCCAGCTCCTCCAGCGTCTCTGCTGCTGGTCTGTTCAGAGTCTCCGGCAGCAGGAGGCCCAAACAGCCCGCCGACAGGCCGCTCAGACAGAACACGGTGAAGGGCATGGAGGTATGGAGGGCCCGCTGCGACACACACAGACACACAACCAGGACCTTTTACTGTCTGAACCCTTCAGCCCGTGTTTACAGTGTCTGAATATTTACACACTGATCAGAGGGTCCAAGAGTGAGAGCAAAACATAAATCAAGAGAAAATTGTTTGAAAAGATCCTTAATTATGTCCTGCTGGGGGGTAAAATAAAAAAAGTGTGTTTTTTTAATAAAAAGGTTGAAAAAGAAGCAAAGCAGCATCAGAGCTAACAGAGGAGGACTGGTCCTCGACCTGTGGAGAGATTCCTGCTGTCACATGTTGGCTGTGCCAGCACAGATCAAGTCTGCACTCAGACTCATTTGGAGTTGTGTGATGTTTATTGGGGACAAAGTACAAGTGCAGGTAAGAACACAATAACTAAGATGTGATTCGTGTCTCCAGTTCCTACAAAAACACTCCAAGGAATCGGACGTCCCACACGATTACTGAGAAAATGAAATCATATCCAACTGTGAAACTAAATATTTGTTTTTACTTTGTTGAGCCATCTTCAGCAAATCTCTGGATAAGACTGACACAGATCTCTACTTTCTGCAGAAATCTCCCCACAGGTGCGACTCGTGAGCACGAAAAACGATGGGAGATTTTTAAAAACACGCCGGCCTTTTCCACAACAATGAGAGTCGCTCGTGTTTCCCCTCGTGCCAACATTTCCTAATGTAATCTGTCTCGTATCGTTTGCTCCTCCTGAGCTCAGGTTTCCCTGCGTCTGTGAGTGTTGCCTTCACATTAACTACTGAGAAGCTTTGTGGGTAAAAAGCCGACCTTCATCCGTTCAGATCCACAGCCTGGATGTGCCGTTTGATAAATATCTACTGCCACGAGGACGCCATCAACACTCAGTTTTATCAATCGTGCTTTTATGGAAAGAAAGGCTCTTCAATAGACACGATCGACTTTGCTTTCACAGCTTCGGTATTTTGTTTTTTAATTGTTTTTGAAATGCATATAATAAATAAGATGAACATACTGTAAATTATCTGCCACAGCAACAGGAAACTGCAGCTGTGACAGAAAGTTGCAGGAGATTACATATATTTAAAAGAATAACATTAAGAGCTTTTTAGCTGAGATTTCTGTAAACGCGCGTTCGTTGAGCTTCCCTGTATCACCACTAGAGGTCACTGTTTATTTAGGTTTGGAGTACATGACAAAACGAGGTCAAAGGTCAGTGTGACACATTAAAAGAAGAAACCGAAACCGTCATTTTCTACTTTCATGTGTCACATGTGACTGTTTAACAGGATTTTATTTCCCTGTGAAACTAATATGTTTACACACTTTGATCTGTTAGAAATTTAACTCGTGTGAAAGCGAAACGCAGCAGGTACGAAGTTCACGAAGGACAGTGTGTGTTTATAAATCAGACCTGTGGTTAAACAAGACAGCAGGACGGTGCACGAGGGCGGATAAATCGTTACAGATAAACTTTCAGGCAGGAAAACCTGCAACACGTTAATCAGGAATGTGTGAATCGGTGAGGTCGTTAATAAAACTGCATCGGTCAGTGAATGCAAACGATTTCCTGGAATGAGGTCGTGTGACCTCGTCACTCAGACGCGCTGCATGAACTCCATGTCCTTATAAGTTTGCAGAAACAGCCTAACACAGCAGGACAATAAGTCCAGCAGACTTTCCAAGATCATAGCTGCGTTTTCCAGCATTTTTGGCCTCTGACGTCTCGCACCCAGCAGGGTGTAGTCAGGGCGATACTTCAGCAGTCAGTGAGTCATTAAAATCTCCAAACAGATTTCCCCCTCAGCGTATCGATGGTTTCACTTTGGAAATGCTTCACTTATTGACACGTAACAGCGCAGGCCCACGAACTCTGAATGCCTCTGCGGCGCCGCGCCCTCTGAAGTTTAAGCAAAAACACAGTTTCCTTCCTATTAACAAAAACGAGCTGCACCCACAGAGACGACGGGGCTGGTGGAGGGGATGTTGGCACACTTGAGGTTTCACCGTCTATTACTTTTTAAAATTCGCCCGCTTTGTTTCAGAGTACAGGAAGCATGGATGTTTGACCACAGGCTGACATCACGCTAACACTTACAGGCTAACAGTAACCGTTCTCTCAGCTCACCACGCTCTCCAGTATAAATAACTCAAGACTTTAGCAAGAAGCCGATGAGCTGTCGAATGCAAAGATTCACACTTTAAGAAACCTGAGCCGGAAACCCCCACAGGCCTCGCTGTTACTTTTATTTTGTATGAGGCATAAATGCAACCGCAGGAAGCAAACGGGGCGACTCAGCGCCTCGTCCTCTCGCCCCTGCACACACCAGCTAAAATATTTATACCAAGATGCACAAAATACATTTCAAAATAAAATCTCCTAAAAGAACATTTATAAGCTACCAGATCCCCTTCTTCATCATCACTTTCCCTCCTTTTTTATTATTAAACATGTTTTTAATGATCTGATCTCCATGCCAACAACAGCTCCAAACAGGAAATGCTGAAAAAGGAAGTGATACTGTTTCCACTGCACGGGGAGCT